CGAATATAATTTTATATAGCTTACTAGATTACAATATGAATTTTAATTGAATAGACCTGCTATCAAAACCTTTTTTTGGTTTTAATAGTCAGGGAATATGTCACACCTGTTTATATATGACTGTTAATCTATTATATTAAAATATTATAGTACAATGATATCTGCTACCCAACATATAATTAATTTTCTTTAGCATTTGGACATTTCTTTTAATAATGACCAGGTATTCCACACAATAAGCATTTACGTTGTGGTCTCAAACTTGTTTCTACAGTACAATTTTCTTGTATATTGTTGATTTGGCTCATGATTTCTTGTACTGCAGTTTTCCCTTTTAACATTTCTATAATGCTTTGTATTCTTTTTTTACTGGGAGCACCTTGAATTTTAGTGATATGTGGATTATTTGTCTGATCAATTAAATGTTGCTATAAAGTGCTAATACTATCTTTGTTCTGGATTTCACTGCTTTCTATTTCTTCTGAATTATTATCATTACTAATGCTTTATTTAGACAGAATGAAATCCTTTAATAATTGAACTAACTCATTATCACTTTTAGTTTCCAAAGCAATATTAAATACAGTTTTAGCTGTTGAGAATGCAACCCCAAATCTATTTCTTTAAGGAGCAATTTGCTGGACACTTTGAACTTTGAAGAGCTAAATTAATTTCATTTGTAGTATATGAATTCTCAAAAGCTTGATCTAATTTCGAAAAATATCGTTTTATACTATCTGATTGGTATAATACTAATATAAAACTTTGCAGCACTTGAATAAAGCATAACCCACCAAAAATGGTGACAAATAATTTTTTTCATATGTGTTTCTAAGCAAGTGTATATATAATTTCCATCATTAAAAGAACTACTATATTATCTTTACTGGAAAGTCCTTCTATTTGACGAATTCTCTACATTTTATTAATATTTGATATATTATTACTACTTAAAATAGTTTTTAAGGTTGTTTGTAGTTCATCAACTATATTCTCAATAAAATTATCATTTATAGTATCAATATGTAAATCCTGTAATAAAATAAAAAATAAATATTCTATTCATCCATACTATATCACTTTAATTTAACCAAGAAACATACTTCAGGTATCAAGCTTTTTTTTTTGTCCTTCATAAGTAAAGGATTGTGAAATTTGGAATCATTATAAAGATAGTATGAGTAGCATCAAAAAATCAACAAGCACATTATTGACGGTTGAAAAAAACTGAGAAGAGATATGTGGAAGTTCAATTGTTGAATACTTTGCTTTAATATCTGTTAATTTACAATACCGAATCTCTTTTTCGTGTCTTTTGTTAATTGCCTCTTTGATTTCACAAAATGTGCTGGCACTGTTAAGAGATTTTTTTTTTTTTTTTTAAAACGCGAATTGGCGTACTTTATTTAATAAATGCTTTAATTACAAATAGTAGAGTTTGTTTATCACAATTATATATTAAAGTTTAGAAAGCTAACTAGTTTTTTTTTTTTTTTGTTTTCCTTTTTTTTTTTTAAG